ATTCAGTCCCCTTAATAATAACTTTCCTAGCATTCTCTCTCTTTTGCAATACTTGTCACTCTTGCAACTTTACACATACAATTTTGGGATTCTTGTCTGCCTCCCCCACCAATGGTAAGGTCTGTAGAGGCAGAGGCAATGTTTTTCTTCTCTCTCTCTTTTATTTCTTCCCCTCGTGTTTTTTCAGCTCTGGGTTCCAAAGCAGCTCTGCCATGTACTAGCTGTGTAACCTGGGGCAGGCTGCTGCAGCACACTCTGCTTCAGTTTCCTTATTGTATAATGGGGATAATAACAGAGCCTATCTCAAGGGCTTTTTATGAGAATTAAATAAGATAAACTTTGCAAAGTACTTACAGCAATTCCTGAGGCAATTTTAGGTACTATGCAAGTATTTGTTAAATAAGTATCAGGTTAAAGATACTTGAATAATACATAACAAAGGTGAATTAATACCAACTTCACCGTTAATTTCAGGAGTTCCGGTTCTTCCCTCCTAACCCCCTTGGGGTGATATCAAAACAGGACCTGCTGATAGCCACATCCTCTACAGTATAGCGGGTGTTACAGGGAGGGCCTGGGGACCTTATTAAGGACCTGTCAGATATCCAGCCCTGTTTTATTTCTAGGGCTAGGAATGCTAAAAAGTATGTGTCCAGGGAGGGTGACTCAGGGCATTAGAAGGGATGATCCACTGCTCGAGTTCCCAGACAGAACTTTTCAGACAGAATTTCTGGGAAAAGCAAAACCAGTGGTGGGCACTGAGGATTTCATTTTGCAATATTCTGCCTGCCCCAAAGCCTGGTCTGCTCAGGAGGCAGACACAGCCCCGTGGATTATGGGACATTTCTCAGGATCTTGAGACAATTAATGATGCTACTTTTGACATGCCCGAGGGTGGCTAAAACTGAAACACAGAGCAATTATGCAACTCAGCCAGTCACGTAGCACCAGCAAGGCTGAGCTGGGTCAGATCTCTGGACTCCAGACTTACGTTTAATCTGATGAGATTCACAGCCATGCTGTTATCCCAGCATAGACTTCGTTTAGTCACAGAAGCTGTTAACATAATTTCAGAGATGTGTGTGGCCAGGGACTCCTGGGTCATCTGGTAAAAATGACGTTACCAGGAAATGAAAGTACTCAAAGCTCTAGAGAAAGTATGTGTCAGGATCAAATAGGAAAACAAAATACAAGTTAAAGCAAGAAGACCAGAACAGGCTTATATTAGTCCATTCTCACACCGCTAATAAAGTAATAAAGACATACCCGAGACTGGGTAATTCATAAAGGAAAGAGGTTTCATCGACTCACAGTTCTGTATGGGTGGGAAGGCCTCAGGAAACTTAACAGTCATGGCGGAAGGCGAAGAAGAAGCAGGTACCTTCTTTACAGGGTGACTAGATGGAGTGAGTGCAAGCAAGGGAAATGCCAGATGCTTATAAAACCATCAGATCTCATGAGACTCAGTCACTGAGAGCATCATGGGGGAAACAGCCCCCATGATTCAATTACCTCCACCTGGTCCCACCCTTGACACATTGGGATTACAATTCGAGGTGAGATTTGGGTGGGGACACAGAGCCAAACCATATCAAGGCTGCATATGTAGGCAGAGAAACTGCTGTACTATGAAAAACATAGATATAGGGTAAGAGCATTACTGCTTCACTGATAACTTCTAGAACATGCTGAGGTTGGTGCAGCCTCCAGTACTTAAAATAACATGAATTCAGAAAAAGACAACTTGTAGTTCCACGTTTGTATTTATGTGTATCTAGTTATGTCAGAATTCACATTTATTTTTTTAAAAAAAACTTTATGAAGACTCAAAAGAAGTTGGAAAAATGTCCATCTTTCACTTCCTACTCTTTCTCAGTTTCTTTTTGTTTCCCATTCAGTGAGACAAAGGGTAGTGGAAAAAGAATGGGTTTTGGAGTTGCATAGATCTGGGATCAAGTACTGACTGTACTGCTAGTGATTTGATGTTGAGCAACTTGCTTTGCCTCTTTGACCTTCAGTTTCCTTATCTGTGAAATGGTTGTAATAACACTTGACCTCACAGGACTTAGGTGTAGTTGGTACATGATAGACACTAAGTTAGATTTGAACTGCAGTGTATCTTATACTCATTTAAAATATATGTTTAAAATGGATTTATCAAAACAGAATAATATTGATGCAAGGATAGACAGAGAGATCAAAGGAACAGAATGAAGAGTTAAGAAATAGAACTGCATATATAAGGTTAATTGATTTTCAACAAAGGTTCCAAGATAATTTTAAACAGGAAAAGGAGACTTTTCAAAAAATGATGCTGGAGCAATTGGACATCTGTCTGCAAAACAAAAACAAACAACCCCTCCCAAAAACCCTTGACCCATATCTTACATCGTAGAATAAAATTAACTTGAAATGTATCATAGGTCTAAATGTAAGGCTAAAACCATAAAACTTCTAGAAGAAAGACAGGAGAAAAACCTCATGACTGGGTTAAGCAAATATTTCTTAGGATCCAAACAGCACAACCAAAAACCTTGAAAATAAAATGGACTTCATCAGAATTAGATATGTTTGCTCCTGAAAAGACACTGTTCAGGAAATGGAAATGCTCGTCAAAATTGATTTATTTCTTTAACATTGCTGTCTGCTAAAATTGAGGCCTGGGGTAGATATAATTAATAATTCTTGTGCAGTGCCATCCTCTCCCAACAGAGTGCACTTTCTAGATGTGCCCCCTCCCCCTCATTCTTTATGCCACTATTCACTGCCATCATTCTCACAATCCCTGTCACGAATGAGGGCTGGGAAGAAGATCGAGCTATGTGTTTTGAAGTTGGAATTCCCTTCTCTTAAATTCCATTCCTGGGAGTGACAGACAGGGGAAGGAGCAGTGATAAAAAGCCTGGAGATGGGCACACACATGATAGGAGGCAACCCGAAGCCCTTGGGAGCAACAGGGTACTCCTAAAAATGACAACGAAAAGCAGACACTGAGCATGCGCATTCGGCCAGACATGATGCTTTCTTTGCATCATTTCATTTAAATATTGTATTATATTGTATTGTATTGTATTGTATTCTGTTTCTTTAGAGATATCACTCTGTCACCCAGGTTGGAGCGTAGTGGCATGTTCAGAACTCATTGCAGCCTTGAATTCCTGGTCTCAAGTGATCCTCCCACCCCAGTCTCCCAAGTAGCTGGGACTACAGGCACTCACCACCAGGCCTAGTTACTAATTTTTGTATTTTTTTAGTAGAGATGGGGTCTCACTGTGTTGCCCCGGATGGTCTCAAACACCTGGGTTCAAGTGATTCATTGGCCTCAGCCTCTTCAAGCACTGGATTACCGAAATAAGTCACTGCACCCAGCCTCATTTAACTCTGGTAGAAATATCCATGCAGGGAGTCCATGGGAATTGGGGCAGCAGGGACTCCAAGCAGGCGGGCTGTTCCTTCCCTGACTCCTGCAATCAGTCCTGCTCTTCCTTTGGCTCTGACTTGCTCTGTCCTTTGGAATTCATTCTAGATGTTTCCCCACGCCCATCTCTTTTCTTGGTTGTATTCCCTTGGGACTATTGGCTCAGGTTTGGGGATTTATTTTGTTTCAAACTTCAGCCTCTGTTTGGCTTCTTGGCACCAGGCTTTGTACTTCTGCTCCTTGAATCTGGTAACCCCTATCCCCACCTCCTCTCTGCCTACTCAAAGCTTCCAGTCTTTGGTGTTGAATAATCTCTGGGTGATGACCAATCTCGTATGTCCTAAGGTACACAATAAACAATACCAGGGTCAACAATCAACAGGCATCTCTTTCTCGTGCCCGTCTTGTTCTAGTGTCCCAGACATTCCAGTGTAGGCTTAGATGTAGATGGAAGTGTTCTAGTGCTTGTGATGGACACCTGTTGAAAAGGCCAAGTCTACCATGGCCAAAGTAGCTATGGAGGGTTTTACGTATTAACACAATGGGGGAGGGTATCTTTACTGGTGTAAGCACAGTTCCACTGTGTGGATGGTCGTGATGCTGGAGTGGTCTATGATTGGTACCTCCAGTGCCAGCTGGTGATTTACGGGCAAGCACAGGTCAATAGTCAAGTGGGAAAAACAGCAGCATTCAGTTAATCTCCCTATTTTTCCTCCAGGTGTCTTCTTAGAATCAGGATCAGATGCCAACCCAGGGGGGTTCCTGGAGAAGCAGCGAAAATTCTAGTGCCTAAGCTATATATGTTCCAGCAGGTCAGGTGGATGTCGCATGTGTCAGTTTGACTACAGCAGAACCACGAGAGATGTTTCCTTTAGAGTCTGGCTGCAATCCACAGGCCACAGACAACTGGAGGGAGTGGATCCCTCCCAGTTTCCTTCCACTTAGCATGAAAGCCTCAGAGTAAGCAGCCCAGGGAGCAGAGAGACTGACATTAAAGCCTGCAATTCCTCTTCCAATTTTGATCACAGCAGCCATTTAAACACAGGGTCTACCGAGGTTTAAAAAACTTGAACTGTGCTTAGTTGCACTCTGAAATAGTCCTGCTCCTCCCCTGACCTGCCAGAGTCAGCAAAGAGATGTGTCAATAGTCTCCGCATGAGGCTTCAGAGGAGCAGCTGTGTATGGCAGGACGGAACAAAACTGGCCCATCGTATCTTTTACCACAACAAGTTCCCACTTCATGCAGACCACTGAAAAGAACCTTGGATCTTTTAAAAAAATAATTATTATAAACATAGGTTTGTGACCTTGATATGGAAGGCAGGTAGAATCTCTGCTTTTAGAGGGCTAAGCTACACCAATCAGCCTTCAGTCTTAGAAGGGCTAAGCTGAAAGGGACTCAAAAGGTCATGTGGTTTATATAATCCTACCTGCAGACGACACCCAGGCACAATGATTTTACAGACAAGGAATGTGAGGTGCGGAAAGGTTAAGGAAGGATTTATCATATTTGCATAAGGAGTGGAAGAACTGAAACCGAAGCCCCAGTTCCTTGACTATAAATCCTGCACTTGCTTCCAACTGTCTTTCATCCAGATTATGGGATTCAGCTGCCTCTGAAAACCTGTAGCCCAATAACGGTTATTCCTAAGAGCTGGATGAAGCATGAGCTAATTTTCAGTGAGAGTGGACTTTGGGGTAACGGTTCCAACCCAGCGCATTCCTTTCTCCTCTTTTCACGCATCATCACGGCCACCTGAAAACCCTGGCTGGGCGCTGGGGCGTGAGGAGCAGTTCTCACTTCCCAGTCTTTTTCTCTTTTTCACAGCTGCAAAGTTCAGGGAGTTGAACTGCAGTGCTTTCAGTTCACTGCTCACTCTGCCACGATCAACCTCTGTTGTAAATTTTCCTCCCAGAGCACGTGACGATGCACTTCTTGACTATATATCCCAACTGCAGCGGCTGAGTTGTCAGAGCTCAGAGCCGGACAGAGCAGAAGAACCCTCTTGGACTGGACGATCTGGGAATTCAAAACTTGGGACAAACTGTCAGCCTTGGTAAGTGAGCAAGGCTACACTTTGCTTCAGAAACATTTGAAAGATGGGCATTTTCAATTAATAGATGAATTTTTAAATTTTCTTTCTGCTTTTCTTTGTTCTAAGGAAACACTGTTTTGAATTTAAAATAGTTTGATTTTGGAAACACAATGTAAACTCTGTTTCTGCTCTGTTAAAATGTGTTTCCCAATTTTAAAGCTATTATTTACTGATGCTCCTGTCTTACATTGATGTAAAAAGAAAATCAAAGTAATACTGCTCACTACAAACAGGACAGATGTGTACACTAAAAAAAAAAAAAAGAAAAAAAAGAAAAAAAAAGAGTCCTTCTTACTTTTCCCAGTGAACCCTCCCCGGCCTTCTCTCCCGTGCACTCCAAGCCCTCATAGCTCACTCCTGTCATCTGTTTGGCGAAGCCTCTTAGGCTATTTCTTTCATGCACTTTTAAGCTTTTTTGGTATTGCAGTTCCACAAACTTTGTGCTCCCCCTCCTCCCTGTGCCGGGAACCTGGGGGACAGCTCTAACCTGCGGCTTTTTCCGCAGCCCCTGCTGTGCAGGCAGCCTCAATGCTGAAGATGGAGCCTCTGAACAGCACGCACCCCGGCACCGCAGCCTCCAGCAGCCCCCTGGAGTCCCGTGCGCCCGGCGGCGGCAACGGCAACGGCAACGAGTACTTCTACATTCTGGTTGTCATGTCCTTCTATGGCATTTTCTTGATCGGAATCATGCTGGGCTACATGAAATCCAAGAGGCGAGAGAAGAAGTCCAGCCTCCTGCTGCTGTACAAAGACGAGGAGCGGCTCTGGGGGGAGGCCATGAAGCCGCTGCCCGTGGTGTCAGGCCTGAGGTCGGTGCAGGTGCCCCTGATGCTGAACATGCTGCAGGAGAGCGTGGCGCCCGCGCTGTCCTGCACCCTCTGCTCCATGGAAGGGGACAGCGTGAGCTCCGAGTCCTCCTTCCCGGACGTGCACCTCACTATTCAGGAGGAGGGGGCAGACGATGAGCTGGAGGAGACCTCGGAGACGCCCCTCAACGAAAGCAGTGAAGGGTCCTCGGAGAACATCCATCAGAATTCCTAGCACCCCCGGGACCCCTGCCGGAGGCTCCATCAGCCAGCACCCTTAGAGAGAGGAAAGACAGTTTTCAAGTGTCTGGTTTCACTTTCGCAGTGCGGCTGCCACTTTGAAAAGACCCTCGGCAAGCCCCTAATTTGGGGTGGGGTGGGGGACTAGGCTCAGCCGGAGCCAGCAGCCCCGAGGAGTCCGGGAGGTGCCTGTGGTTTGCACCCACCACTGAAAAAGCCGCGGAGATGTGGAGAGTGTACATTGACTTTGGGGCCTGGGTGTTGGGGTTCTGTTCAGAATTTGGCAGGATGATATGCTTGCCATTTTCTCACTGGATGCCCTGGGTAGCTCCTGCAGGGTCTGCCTCTTCCCAGGGCTGCCAAATGCTTAGGACATGCTGAGGGACTAGTTGTGATTTGCTATTTGCCTAGAGCTTTGTCCTTCTAGATCTGATTGACTGTAAGTATCTCTACTGTGTACCTGTGGCATTTCTTCACAGTGGGTTACAAGCTTCTTTTAGATTAGAGAAGGATTTTTGGTGGAAGAAGGCTGGAGATCTGAACCCAGCTCATTTGCACACTGTAAGAAAAAAAAAAGTAACTTTTAAACCTGTTAACATTGGCTGGGGTTATAAGAGATGATCTGCTATTTTGACCTTTTGTCTAACTTATGACCTTGAACTCTGACCTGTAGCCATGCAGCATCACATGCTGGCATGATGTTCTTTGGATCAGAAGAGCTTCCCCAGAATCTAACCTGCACTCCGGGTGGTGGTTCAGGGGACTCTTCCTGATCTTTCTAGAAGGGGTAAGTGGGGTTGAACAAGGCCAAGCCGTTAGCTCTGCTGCTGCTCAGTTTCCCAGCCTAGTTTTCTGAGCTGGGAGAGGACATAATGTGGTATTTCGTCACGTAGCTGAGACCTAGAAGGGCATACTCAGGCGGAGATTGCACAAAGCTGGGCTCCAAGTTCTGTGCTTCCTGATCCCGAGCCTTGACACTCATTTGCTGTGTGGTCCTGGGCATGTCATCAAGAAGCTCGCTGTCTGCATGAGGTTCCTGACGATCTCCATCCCCAGGGGGCTGGGAGGATGTCTTTAGATTTTAGGACTCTGTGATAAGTACTCCACAGCCTGGTGTGAGGAAGCTTGGACCAAATGCTTCCCCTTTGGCCGGTTAGTCTGAACAAGGATACGCTGATTTAAAGGAGCAGTTGGAGATTCAGAACACATATAACTGGGGAATTCAGGGCAAGCTACCAACCAGCCCTGCTGTAGTTTTCCCAGGATTGAAGGAAACAGGCAGACACCACATTCTCCTCTGCAAAGTTCTCTGGAGAATGTGTGATGTTAACACTTCCAGCTAAAAGAAAGCAAAGTCTAAAGGAAAACACACAGGAATGCTTCCAATGTCTCCATGTATTCCTGTGGTCAACAGTTTTGCAGATCCATTAGGCCCTTAAAGACAAGGAGGAAGTAAAAGGTCAAATTTAATTCTATTAAATTTTTTTTTTTTTTTTTAAGACAGAGGCTTGCTCTGTTGCCCAGGCTGGAGTGCAGTGACGCGATCTTGGCTCACTGCAACCTCCACCTCCTGGGTTCCAGCGATTCTCCTGCCTCAGCCTCCTGAGTAGCTGGAATTACAGGTACCTGCCACCACGTCTGGCTAATTTTTTATTTTTTAGTAGAGATGGGGTTTCGCCATTTTGGCCAGGCTGGTCTCGAACTCCTGGCCTCAAATGATCCTCCCACTTCGGTCTACCAAAGTTCTGGGATTACAAGTGTGAGCCACCGCACCCAGCCACATTTTTTGTTTGTTTGTTTTTTTTTTAAGAAAAATACTCTTTATGAATTGGAGGCACAGCAATAACTGCTGTTTCCATGGAAGGGTTAACAGTGTAGGAGCTGGTTTATCAGTCCACTTTGACATACAGCTAAAGGAAATTTATGTTTTGGGGGAAAAGGCCCTCCGTTCACTTTAAAATTCAGTGTGGATTTACGCCAAAGGGGGCTGTTTAAGTTGAAAGAAGCCAAGTTAAGTTTGGCCTCTTGCCTGGAATCACTTGAATTCTGAAATTTCACTGCGACGGACATGTGCCTTGTCACATTTTCCATTGCTTAATCCTGAAGTTTGGTGCAAGTCTCTCTGCACCTATTAAAAAGTGATGTATATACTTCCTTCTTATTCTATTGAGTTGTATAGAATTGTCTTTTGTATTTAACACTTTGTAATTTTCACAATATTTTTTAATTTAAATAAATAAACACATTTTTTCCCTCCTGGGAAGTCATGAATTATTTGTTTGATTCTTCAATATAATTCTTAGTTTCCAAGACATCACAGATACATTTCCCAAACCATCTCTGGATTTTGCTCCTCTCCCAAGTCAGTATCTCCTGAGGGCATATCTTATTTCTGTCTGAACCATGGGGTGAATGAGGCTTGGCTTTTCATCCTTTGAAATGCTTTGTAATGAATGGAAAACAAGCTGCAGATGGTCTTACACGGACTTCTCTGTGTAAATATGGCAGCCCTGGAGGCTTTGGACTTTGCATATGCAGTGACAGCGCAATTGCTGCTAAGATGTTGCTCCAAGCTTGTTGCAAGAAAATGTTTGACCTGCGTGTTGGCTTGGCAAATATTATCCACACGTGTGGCCCAGCAGCACCTGCTAATGGGCAAAGAGTTGCTGTATGAACAGCAACACAAACTTACCAACACAGTGAAGCACAAAGCATGGGGTTGGGGTTGACTCTCCTCCCTCTCCTGGTCTCCTTCAGACTGGGACTGATTCCAGCACCTCCCACTCTGTCTGTCTGTATCTCTTGCCCACAGGCTGAGGCCATGGCCAGCCTGCGGCAGCCTCTTCTTCATCATTTTATTGGCATGACCTGTTTTTGAATCCAGCAAATGGTAGGAAGCATCCTTACTTTTATGTTTCTCTGTTTCCTGTGAGATTGACTTTTCTGTTTCGAGTAAATGTTTCCATTCAGTTCACTAGTAACTGTCTACCTAAAGAATTTACCTGGTAACAGTACAGTGGAGCCTGGATCCTTCCCATACCATATCGAGGGCCCTGATCCAGTTGGTACTTTGATGATGTAAGACGAGAAGATTATTTTAAAAGGCAAGAGAGCCTTTCCATTTATCCCAGTTTAATGTCATTCTTCATAAGGAAATGGTTAAGAATTTTTTTATTTTTTTTAAGCCATGGGCGGAAGGAGAGGGAATTCTAAACTCTAATTGTCCTAAAAATATGCAGAGTACACTTTGTCGTTTTAATGGGATATTTGTTTTCTTTAAAAGAAAGAAAAAAAAAAGAACTTCTAAGCAGAACCTAAGGCCCAAGGGGTTTAGTCTGTGTGGATTTACTCATGCATGTGAAAAACTGACAAGAGAATTTGGCTCTGTTCACCTAAGATATTAAAAACATATTTTGAAAGCACTTAAATGTTAGGGATGAGGTAAATAGATCATCCTGCCTGCTCCACACTGTTCTAATTACACCTTTGTACGTCAGAGTCAGGCAGGGATGTTACACAGTAAAAGATTTCTTTCACGGGTAAAATCATGGGATCAAATCTACCGGGAAAGGCTGAAGTCAAGCCAAGGAATGAATGCTCTTGGTTCATGATTCTGGTTGGAAAGTGGAAGCCCTGGTGCCTTTCAGAGCTGCGACTGGAGGGTTTCATGGTCAGACATGCACTTCTAGGGCTCAGCTAAACAAGGGTAATTTATCATCCTGTAAAATGCTGCTCTTACCATAGACATTGTGGAACAAACAGAACATGGAGCTTAAAATGTAACTTAAGCTCCAGCTTCAGGCAGAGCATACCTTTGCCTCATGCCCTTAGAGTCTGCACACTGTGCTGAAGAAAATCACAGGACGTATCATGGGTCATGCGACCAGAGGCAGAGTCTAGGGCTGGAGGGAGACCTGTCAGCCAGTTGGCCGGGATGGTGGCTCAGGCTGCGTCTGAAACGCAGGGAGGTAGGAAGTAAATAGTGGTCAGTGGAGCTTCAGCCTTGTTACGTCTGGCTTTCTAGCCTAACTCTGCTACCATGTTGCTTGTAGCTCTGGGGAAGCTGCCTAACCTTTCTGAGCTCTCTCTTTCAACATGAGACAGCATGCTGGCTTTTCTCTTTGGAGTTTTTCAAAAGAACGGTGGAACGTCCTGAGAAATACTCAAAGAAAAGCAGATTCAGGCTTCTACTTTAAAAATGTGTCCTGGGCATGCATCTGCAAATAAAGTCCCAAAACATCCTCTTCTATGGACGCTTTCCTCAGGAGACTGCAGTGTGCTCAGAAAAAGTGCACGCTTTGCCAAAGGAGAAGGGTCACAAGAGGGAAAAACCACTGTTAAATTCAGCCTTCCCCCATTTCTGAAATGTTTCCTCCCACACAGGAAGGAACAGTTTGAGATGTGTGCCGTTACCATGGAGATAACCAGCTAAGGTCACTCAATGGAAGGAGTCTATGGCCCACTAGCATGGATCATTAGGGCCAGTCTCGGAAACTGAGGTTTGGTCCTCGGCTCAGAAGATGAGCTTTGAGTCCACGGCAGCCTCTATTCATGGGTAGGGGAGGGGGTGCAGGGACACCGCTGTTCTCCTTTTGTCTTGCCCAAGCCTGTCCTCTCTTCACGCATCCCCCTTGCATCATTTGCAATCCTTTCCTTGCACTTGCCCTGTCGCATTCAACGCAGGGCTAAGCTCTTGCTCTGCTGTTCCTATGAATTTATTTTCCTGCCTTGAATTCTCTTGCTAAGAAACGTGATTGAAAAATCCTTCACATCAATAACTATACCTCTTTCCTGTTTTTAATAGTTTTCCTTTGCCTGTCCTCTCTTTATCTAGCCTCTCTCCCTTTCTTCCTCTCTTTCATCCTACCATTACCCAAAAGGAACAAAAAGGATAGTAACCACAGTGCATGATACTTATTCAGCACTTTTTACATGCACACACACCTTTGCAACCCTGTGCTTTGAGCTTCTCCTTTGTTCTAGGCACTTCTCTAGGTGCTAGGGAAAATGTAACACCTCTCTGGGGATGGTATATTTTTCCCAGCACTTAATGGAGTAGCATTATATATATACACACATATATGTGTGTGTGTGTGTGTGTGCGCGTGTGTGTGTATATACACACACACATATATATACACACACATATATATATATATATTTTGCTCCATGACAGACACTTTCCCTTTGATTATCTGATTTAATCTTCCCAAGGAAACTGTGAGATAGATCTACAATATTCTTAATCCAGGTAAGAAAGTTGAGGCTCCTCAAGGATTTGAGGTGAAGATGTGAGGAGGGTGAGGGATAAAAGACTACAAATAAGGTGCAGTGTCTACTGCTAGGGTGACGAGTGCACCAAAATCTCACAAATCACCACTAAAGAACTTACTCATGTAACCAAACACCACCTGTTCCCCAATAACGTATGGAAAAATAAGAAAATAATAAATAATAAAATAAAATAAAATAGGAGTGATTAAGAAAAAGAAAGTTAAGGCTCAAGGAAGTCAATTGCCAGTCAGTGAAATAAAAGATCAGGATTCAAATGCAGGTCTTCTGAGATAAAATCTGGTATTCTTTTAATCACTAGGAAGCTGACAGCATGGGGACACAGAATCTAGTCCCATCTCAGACATTAGGCAGCTCTGTGACATTGCAAATGTTGCTCAACTTTTCTGGTACATTTCCCCAAATAGAGGTAGTAATATCTTCTCTACTGTCTTCAAAACATTGTCAGAACTGCTTATTAAGCAGCTGTAAAAATTATAAGTATCTGTGTTTGATAGAGGCTGTGTCTAGACATTACCAGTATTCACCAATATTCAATTCTCCTCCTCTTCTGAGAACATGGAAGGTTCCACTTCTTAACCCCTCTCCCACTCCTCGTCTCTTATCGACAGGGGCTGGGCAGGGCCATGTGATTCATTCTCTTTAAACAGAGTACAAGTGATATATGTCACCTCTGAGTTGAGTCAGTGAAAAGTCCACACAGGATTCCCGAGTCACTCTCTTCACCTGCATGTCACCAAAAAGAACATGTGTTCCAGAAGGTATAGGTAATGGGTGGAGCCTGTGTCAGCCTGGAACAGTGAGTTACTGCATGAAAAGCAATGGCTCTGGATGGGTGCCCAAACCTGCAGCTGGCTTTGCATGAAACAATAATAAATCTAGATTACAGTGAAAAGTGGAAAAATTGGGTTTTTTGTTACTTCAGCAAAATCTCACCCACCAGAATAATCCAGGATATGACCATATTTAAGAGACGCTAAATGTTGGAAGACACCTTCTGGATCATCTAACCTGACCTCTCTGTTTAGTGACAAGGAAATTAAAACTCACGCAGTTAAGTGATTTGATCAAAGTCATAGAGGGAGGCCAGGTGTGATGGCTTACTGCTGTAATCCCAGCACTTTGGGAGGCCAAGGTGGGTGAATCATCTGAGGTCAGAGGTTCGAGACCAGCCTGGCCAATGTGGTGAAACCCCATCTCTACTAAAAATATAAAAATTAGCCGAGTGTGGCAGTGGGCACCTGTAATCCCAGCTACTCAGGAGGCTGAGGCGGGAGAATCACTTGAACCTGGGAGGCAGAGGTTGCAGTGAGCCAGGATCACGTCATTGTACCCCAGCCTGGGCAACAAGAGCAAAACTCAGGTCTCCCCATGGTCCCACCATGGGGATTTACACCCTGTAGTGGACATGGCCATGGAGGCCTCTTCCAAGTCTTGGTGAAGACAAAAGACCCAGACAATCTTTTCCCTTGAGCCGTCCCGAGTTGCACTGAGTCGTTGGTGCTGCCTCTATTTATCAATCCTGTGAACCTTGCTGGCAATTGGCTTCTCTTTTTCCTGGTCAAACCCTGGCACTTACCGCGCTTTGTGGTGGGTTGGATCTGAGCAGGCAAGAGTAAACACATTTGCCCAAAGCAGTGCAAGGTGACATCACTGGAAACTTTAATAAAGGGGAAGAAGTTATAAATAGGAGGAGGGAAATTGTCAAACAGGGTTGAACGCCATTGCTCTGTATGAAGTGTACTGGCTTTTGGCTTTTGAGTTTGTTTTTGATTTTTGCATACATTTCTGCTCAGCTCCAGCGCCCGAGTGGTTCACATGCAACCCTCCTTCCCCAGTGCAGAGAGCACCCAGGACTGATGACCCCTGAAGGCAAACGCTGGAGGTTCAGCTCTAGATTGAGGTTTCAGGTAATGCAGAAACCAACGGGCACATCACCAATCATTATTTTTATAAGCTTAGCCTTGATATGGAAGGAA